TGTGATCAGGAATTGAAATACCGCAAATAAGAGTTCTGAGTTGCCTTGATTGGTCTACTTACATTGGAGCAAATAGAATTTCCTTTTCAGATTTCCCACTTGGGAACTTGACTGATAATGAAGCTGAGCTCTCCCGTTCTTCACACCCTTGACAACATTAAGCTACATGAACTTCAACTCACAGGATTTCCTACCTAGTCATTGGGGAATCCAGGGAATGGAAGCCCATATGTCTTAAAGTTTCTAAGATTGAAAAGCACTGCTCTAGACTTTGAGTTCTCCACATTAAGTGAACATCTAAATGGGATCAGAAAGTATGTGGTATATTCAGCTCTCATACATGGTTGTTTCAGCATAGCTCTTTGCAACTCTCTTTAATGTCTCTTCAATCCTTGATCCCTCCAAAGATGTTTCTTAATGCAAATTATTAGAATAATTCCATTAAGAATAAGCAAGTAGTTTATTCAATAAGAGTAATTGAAAAATCAGGGCATAAGACAACCGTGGTGGCCCCAGTGGTTATTGGCACATTGGATGCCATACGAAAAAATCTTGGTTGGCACTTAGAAAATCTGCACATTGACAGAATATCCATCTGCCAGTTGCAGGTCACAATGCTTGGATCTGCATATATATACTACACTGATCAGAGGCGATATTCAGCAGGTTCTGACCAGTTCTGGAGGACCGGTAGCGGAAATTTTGAGTAGTTGAGAGAACCGGCAAATACCACCTCTGACTGGAGATTTTACAGTATCCTTCCCCTGCCATGCCCACCAAGCCATGTCCACAGAACCAGTAGTAAAAATTTTTTGAATCCCACCACTGTACACTGATAATCTCACAATATCCTAGGTTCCTGGAAAGTATCTGATGCATATGAAGGTGAACACCAGTTAAGTTGGTAGCTGTAACTTCACTTTGTTTTGAACAACTGTAGGAAGTTAGCACCCACCCCTCTTCTAGAAAAATGAAATATCCTGGGAAATGTTAAAAAGGCAGAATATTTCCCCTAAAAAGAGCAAAGTAGAAACTCAGAGAAGCAGAAACTCAGCCCCCCCCCCACCTTTGCTAATGGGCCATTAAGGCCTAGGCCAGAGTATTCTACATAATAAAGGGTCTACCCATCTCACCACCTGTCCTGGGAAGATTGTATCAGCCAACACTCAAGTGAAGCCATGTAGTCCAGACGAAGCCTACAGAGATAGCTAAGGCCCCAGCCCCTGGGAGTCTGACAGCCAATGGGATATATTTCTTACACTGGAACAGGAAACACTAAGGTGGGGCCCAACAGAGGTTATATAAGGGTCTCTCAGCATCTTGGTCTTCCCTTCTTGACCTTCTCGCCTTGAAGTATGTGATCATCCTTTCTTTTTCACCTTGGAGCTCCAAGCCATGTGGTGTCCTGCTGTCCACCATTAAACCATCTTTCCAAATAGCCTCCATGTTTCCAGTGTCGTTTTCCCCACTTGGAACTGAATCCAGAAGTATTTTTCTTTCAACACAACTAATAATGATGCTATTTTTATGTTTGCATAATTTTCCTTTGGATATCAAATTTTGAACATTTTGTTTGGCAGCTAGATTTGGAATAACTTTCTTAATCTTTTGGGTTTCCTTTTTATTTTTTTTACTGTATAATCCATCGATAATCATATGGACAGTATGCCACTGCTGCCTTTGTCACTATGGACAAACATGCCAATATTGTTTCCATATATCTCTCTTTCATGTGCATCTTGACAGCATATTAACATCATCAGTGAAAAGCTCCATTCTTTGGCTGACAGATGGTTCTCCCTGCTCTCTTATCTTCCTGAGACAAAGAAAAATACAGACACTCTATTTTGACCACTTAAACCATGTAGGGCCTTCGGAGGAAGCTCACGGATACCTTCAAATGTTCTAGAAGTAGCAAATAAATAAATAATAAGGAAATGGTTTCTTCAGATTTTGGTGAAAACATGAAACCAAAGGCCACTCAGATGTAACTGACCATAAAGTTATTAAAGGCAGAGGCACTGTCTTAAAAGTTAACAGATTATATGTTAAATAAAAGCGTGCACAATGCAATCCTCCAGGAAGGCTTCTTTTATTTTCTTTTGGGGAAAACCTCCTTTGAAATGAACAAAAGCTGATCCAGCAACCTCTTGCTATGAGAATCCGGGTGTCAGGTGTGCTTTTTCTTCAGCTCAGAGCTTCGCTCAGTTCAGCCAGATCTGTCCTGGGACAGTTGTCCTTGTTAATAGTTGACAATTGCATAGCTCTGCCTTCTGTTTTGTGACAGAACAAGTGGAGTGTTTGGTCTGAGTGATTTACTCATGGGCAAGCCAGAGTTAATAACCTTTAGAAGAAGCTTCAAGAAAAAGGCGACCATGTGGTACGGACAACTCTCGCTTGCTTTTTTTTACCTTGTAGGGAGATGTTTCATTTGTTATTTCTCCCCCTCCCCTCTTCTTCCTTCTGATTCCTAAGCTGATGTGAGAACTTTCAAAACAAGGAGGAACACAGCAGAGAAAATCTTGCTTCTTTCTTCCCCCTTTTTTTTCTTTTTTTCTTTTTGGTTTCTTTCAGGCCTTAAAGGAAGACTCCATCCGGTATGTAAAGGAAGAGAATCTCCGCCTGGATTTTTTCCCCCCCTTTCCACACACAATGGAGCTTTCAAGAGAACCTCTTTCCAAAGGAATAGCTCCAGCCTTTGTGTTGAAGGGTGTGCCTATTGGCAAGGCTTGCTAAGCAGACAGCTTGGCTGGTGATTAACAAAGGTCATTAGACTTTGGAATCTGGCAGGCAGAGTCAGATGGTATGTCTTCTGTGGATAGAAGAATGACTCCCATGAGGTTAAAGCACATACTGTGGAAGCCTTTTCTCCTCTCTTTGCTTCTTTTCTTTCTCCCGTTCTCCGTCTGCCTCCCTTTCTTCTATCCATCCTGTCTTAAAATAATAGCAATAGTAATAAGAACCTGGTTGCATCGCTGCTTCTTGCTTTGCTTCAGACCAGGAGGCCACCTGGCCAGATCTTTCTGCTTAAGCAAAGTCTATTATTGATGGATCATTGAGGGTTGGAAGAACCTTCAGAGATATTTTATCCATGGCTTTGTTTAAGGAGAGGAGGTAGGGGGAGAAAGCTGGTTTGATTGCAACCTTGAAGTCTTGGGCATCTATTCTTTCCCTTTCAAAGGGGAAAAAAATTCTGGTTTCTAACCCTGGTCTTGGAAAGCAAAGGAGAAGCTGGAGAATATTCTGTGGTGGAGATGAGGCTGAGATAAATGAAGCCATGTTGTGTGCAGGCTAGAAGCTCTGAGCCTATCCCTCCCTTACTTAATACATGGCTTGTCTGAGCTAAAATGGCTGCTCTGTCTCTCTCTCTCTCTATCCCCCTCTACCTCTCTCTCTCCCTCTTAAAGCTCAGAGGACTAGGACAGCTTAGTGAGTCTTAAAGCGTCAGTGACGCAGGAGCTCATATCTCTTGAAAGTGTGATAAACACATTCAGAGAGCTGTGGCTTGTTTGACTTAGATGAAAAGACTATGCTGGTGGGGGGGGGGAGGAAGTTTAAGAAGATGGACAGTGAGAAGATCCGTTTCATTATTTTCTCTCCTGCTTTTTCCTCTGGAGCATTCTGAATTCAAGAAGAGTCGCCTGCTGCACCATGGCAAAAGGGGGGTGATGGGGTGGGAGAGAAGAGAAGAGAAGAGAGATTGTTTTCAGGTCTAATGGACTGTGCAAAAGGAGACTTATGGGGTGGGGCCTCTATGTTCACTGCTGTAATTTGATCCAGAGCAGATAGCAACCTCTTCCACACACAGTCTGATCTGGTGCTCGCACATAAAAGATTTTGAGTCTCCTGATTGTTGTTAACATTGTTAGCTGAAAAGAAGGCAGGGCCAGCATTCAGTCTTTCAGGGCAAAGAGGAAGGTGAAGTGGGACACCAAGAGATTGCCGTGGGTGTGCGTTTTCTGCTCATTGGGTCCACATTTTTAAAACCATGCCACCGAGAGGAATTTTCTTCTGATGCAGGATCCCGGTAGCGCTGCTTTTTCTTTGTAATATGGGTGAGAGAGTGTTTGGCTTTGAACATTTGATAAACATCACCTCATGTTACATGACAACGAGAAGATGGGATTTTGCTCAAAGCTCATTTGGGCTGCTGTTCCATCTCTTGGTCTGGTGGAGCTCCTAGACTAAATATGACCTGAATTGTGTGAGGAGACTTTAAAATAAGCTGTTCATTAAGGTAATAGCTGCTGGATTAGTCAAAGCTAGCATACAAGTTGGTGTATGAAAATAAGTAGGTATCTTATCCTAGTCTGCTACGTATTTTCAACCTATTCAGGTTTGGAATTTCACAATTGTGGCTCTACACATTTTGAAAACTCTAGAGTTGAGACGAGTTATATAAAACAACATTCAATAATAGCTGGTAATATCAAAAGTAATAAATTTGGAAATGGGGAAGTAGCTTAAAGACTTTTTGCTTAAAAGCTTGGACTCGCCATGGGAGATGTGGCGGCTGTACCAATTTAAAACTCAACCAGTTGAACTTAAGCAAGTTGAAGATGTCAGCCTAGCAGGGTTGTTAAGAAGGTTAAAATTGGATAAGATATAATATGTGTGCCACGTAAGCTTGGAGGAAGCATGGGATTAAAAGTCTTAAGTAAATAATCTGCTTGGCTTTCTAAAAAATTTTCAACAATAGTTCCCATGCATTTTATTGTTGATGGCTTTCCAACATATGCTTCCTTGTTCTTTAGATGAACAGGTAGAGTGAGAGTAGAAAGGGCAATTGGGCAAGACTTCTGCAGTAATTATGAGTCACATATTTGAATGTATCAAAAGTACATCAGGTCCCAGATTTCTGTAAAAAGAACTGTTACTGTTCTGATATGCTGTACTTTTTGTGCTTGGAGAATATTTCTTCTCCTATGATGAATCTGCTGCTGTAACAGTTTTGTGAACGGTTCTTATAAGCAATATGTTTCTTCTCCATCTTTTTTCAGGTTTTCCTAATGTAAAGCTTAGCAACAAAGATGGAGGTGCTGCAGTGTGACGGCTGTGATTTTCGAGCACCTTCCTATGAAGATCTTAAAGCTCACATCCAAGATGTTCATACTGCATTTTTGCAGCCCACTGATGTTGCTGAAGAAACTCCTAGCCCATCGAGATTTGGTTCCATGAACAGTGACCAGGCTGAGGTGGAGTATTCTTTGGTAAAAGATGAATTTGCAGTGGCAGATGGGATGGCAGGTAACTTTCTATTTGGATGTCATTCTGACAAGTTATCCCATTGCAGCATTCTCATATAATCATCCTAATTGCCATATCCAAATCTTATGACAGATAAAAATAACCAGGAATTGCTTTGAGGACAACCAACACTTGTGTTACTCAAATTCAACAGGAAGCAACCATACCCTGTGGCTGAGAATGTAGATTCCAAGAAGTATTCATCAAGGAATCTGTTACTTGTTCATCATGGGTTGGTTGAAAAGGGGGGGAAATAGCCACATATAGTAGATTGATCCCCCCAGGGCTGCTAAGTTTTTTTCTTCTTCTTTTGTTACATTCAGAATTTACAACACAATGTCTAGAAAGCCATTTGTGCGTGAAACTCATAGTATGCATGCATTTCAGGATAAATATTTTATGGAACAGCTTAAATAGTTTATCTAGTTGTTAGTGGTCTTTCATTGCTAACAATGTTTGAGGGGTGTGTGTGTGTCTAAATTGTACTGAAATTTTATCCTTGTTCGTTAACTAGTATTTGGGGGTGGGGGATGGTTAAATTATTTAGAAATAGTATATATGAATTCAGCACTCTAACTAACATTAAAAATGTGTATCTGTGTATGAATTAATGTTTGCATTTCAATTTCAGTTGTGCATTTATTACTAACATTCCCTGGAAGATAGTTGTAAAGGATAAGGTGGTAGGGTGTTGTTGTTCTTTTTTGACATCCTATCTAGTATTTATGAACCAAATACCTTGGGAGGAAAGACAGCTTTGAAGGGGGAAAAGAAAAACAAAGAATAGGCAATGTAATAAGCATACTTCACAGATAATATTTAGTATGTTTTCTTCTCTTTTAGGGCAAAATGCAGCTCAGCTGGGAACTGGCAATTACTATAGCCATAGCCAGGGTTATTATGGCCAACATATGCTCTCCAAATCAGCAAGCAAGTTTTTCCAGTGTAAATACTGTGTACGTTATTTCCGATCCAAAAACCTCCTCATAGAACATACCCGGAAAGTCCATGGTGCTCAGACTGGAAGCTCTCCAACTGGATCCACTAGTGCTGGTTCCTTAAACTACAACATCATGATGCACGAAGGCTTTGGGAAGGTATTTTCGTGCCAGTTCTGCACCTACAAATCTCCAAGACGTGCACGGATTATAAAACATCAGAAGATGTACCACAAAAACAGCCTGAAGGAGAGCTCAACCCCTCCTGCTTCTTCAGCTGCTATATCTGAATCAACCTCTACGTCTGTCTCGATGCAGGATTCGTGCAAGGAGCTTCCAGCTGAAGTTGTTGAGCGTAGTATTTTGGAGTCTATGGTCAAGCCTTTAACCAAATCAAGAGGCAACTTCTGCTGTGAATGGTGTACCTACCAGACACCCCGAAGAGAACGTTGGTGTGATCATATGATGAAGAAGCACCGAAGCATGGTGAAAATACTGTCCAACCTGAGGCAGCAACAGGATGGGACCAATATGTCAGATGTTGTAAACAAGAGTCCCCCAAGCCCTCCCCCAAACTCTAACTATATACCCATGAATGCTTCTGGGCGAGAGATGCCCAACGCAACTGTCCCAAACTACAGGAGTTCAGTAAACAATTCTCTTATCAGGTCCAACGCCTCTTCAAAATTTTCCTCTGCTTCCTATTCTCAGATGAAACATAAAGCTCCTCACAACTCGGGCATTGTTAATTTGTCTGACCGATCTCGTTATGGGGTTGGTGACATGACAAATTCTACTGATCTGGATACCAACAGCATGTTGAATGACTCCAGTTCGGACGATGAGCTCAATGAATTAGACAGCGAGAATGGGTTGAACTCTATGGATCACCAAAGCTCGGGACTAACTGCTGAGCAGCTGATGGGATCTGAGGGCCACAAGTTACTGGAAACCAAGGGGATCCCCTTTAGGAGGTTTATGAATAGGTTCCAGTGCCCTTTCTGCCCTTTCCTTACCATGCATCGGCGAAGCATTTCCCGCCACATTGAAAACATCCACCTCTCTGGAAAGACGGCCGTCTACAAATGTGATGAATGTCCTTTCACCTGCAAGAGCTCTTTCAAGCTTGGTGCTCATAAGCAGTGTCACACTGGTGCAGCATCGGACTGGGATGCCGTGAATTCCCAAACTGAAAGTATAGCTTCTTCTTTAAACGAAAGTACCGTATCCTATGAAGGGGGAAACATAAACGGCAGGAAATCCGGCGGGATCATGGATTCCATGCAGCAGCAGCAACAGTCTCCGCAGTCCAATTCACAGCACCCGTATAAATGCACCATGTGCAATTATTCCACCACGACTTTGAAAGGTCTTCGGGTTCATCAGCAGCACAAGCACTCGTTTTGCGATAACTTGCCAAAATACGAGAGCCCATCAGCAAATACTCTGCAAGACAGCGAGCCCGATGCTCATGCTTCTCCCAGCACTGTGAAGAAAAGCCAGACCTCAATTCTTGGACTGTCTTCTAAAAACAACTTTGTAGCAAAAGCCTCCAGGAAGATGTCCAATGACTTTCCCTTAGATCTGTCCCCAGTCAAGAAAAGAACCAGAATTGATGAGATTGCCAGTAATTTGCAAAGCAAAATCAATCAGAACAAGCAGCAGGAAGATGCGGTCATTAATGTGGAGGATGATGAAGAGGAAGAGGATGACAATGAAGTGGAAATAGAAGTAGAACTGGACAAGGAAGAAGAACAAACAGAACCACTGATGGAAATAGCGGCATTTGCTTCCCAGCAGATATGGGGAAGAGACACAGGTGATCTTCAGAAAGAGCCCAACTACAGGAATATCCCCCATGATTACAGCTCCACCAATGGGGCAGAAATTGAGCTAACTATATCTGAGGATGAGGAAGAATATTATTGTTCTTCGGTGGGTTTGAAGGACCCAGGACTGAATTCATCTATTCTAGGCAGCCAGGTAAGCCTATATGGATCTGATCAAAACAATGAGAATTCAGATTTTGGTGATTCTGGAAGGCTTTATTATTGTAAACACTGTGATTTCAGCAACAAATCTGCCAGGAGTGTTAGCACTCACTACCAACGGATGCATCCCTACATTAAATTCAGCTTTAGGTATATTCTTGATCCCAACGACCACAGTGCAGTGTATAGGTGTCTTGAATGTTACATTGATTATACAAACTTTGAAGATCTGCAACAGCATTATGGGGAGCATCACCCAGAAGCCATGAATGTATTAAATTTCGATCATTCAGATTTGATCTATCGCTGTCGCTTCTGCTCTTACACCAGCCCCAATGTTAGGAGCCTAATGCCGCACTACCAAAGAATGCATCCGACTGTGAAAATTAACAATGCCATGATATTCTCAAGTTACGTAGTGGAGCAACAAGAAGGGTTAAGCTCAGAATCGCAAACGCTGAGAGAGATACTGAACTCTGCTCCAAAAAACCTGTCCACTTCGACCCCAGTTGCACGTGGGACTCATGGTATACCTGCTGCTTTTAACAAAAGTTCTTCAAAGGGCAATAGCCCCGAATCTGAAAGCCAAAAAGAGTCAACAGTCAACAGTGTTGTCGTTTATGATTGTGATGTCTGCTCCTTTGCAAGTCCCAACATGCATTCCGTCTTAGTGCATTACCAGAAGAAACATCCCGATGAGAAGGCTTCGTATTTTAGGATTCAAAAAACAATGCGTGTGGTGTCAGTAGAGAGGGGGTCTGCCCTGGCTCAGATGGCTTATGAACTGGGGTCACCTGGCTCTCCCAAAATGTCACCGTTACCACCTCCACCACCTCCAGACCTTACCACGGAGCTTTACTACTGCAAACATTGCTCTTACAGCAACCGGTCAGTGGTTGGGGTACTAGTGCACTACCAGAAAAGGCACCCAGAGATAAAAGTGACTGCCAAATACATTAGGCAGGCACCCCCGACTGCAGCAATGATGAGAGCTGGTGGAGAGATATCTCCTGGTGTTCGTAGACCTGCCGTTTCTATGCAGCACCTGAACAGGGACGGCTCTGATGGTACTGTAGCTCCAGCAGAGAATGAGATGTTCTTCTGCCAGCACTGTGATTATGGAAACCGGACTGTAAAAGGGGTCCTTATTCATTACCAAAAGAAGCATCGTGATTTCAAAGCCAATGCAGATGTAATTAGGCAACACACCGCCACCATCAGGAGCCTCTGTGACCGGGGTCAGAAAAATTCCCCTGGTGGCTTACAAATTCCTACTTCTGGTTCCGAGCAAGAAAGGGCTAAGTTAAGAGCTCTCAAATGCAGGCAGTGCTCTTATACATCTCCTTATTTCTACGCATTGCGGAAGCACATTAAAAAGGACCATCCAAGCTTGAAGGCTACTGTCACATCTATTTTGAGGTGGGCATTTTTGGATGGTTTAATAGAAGCTGGATATCACTGTGAATGGTGTATCTATTCTCACGCGGAGCCCAGTGGCCTGCTTGTGCATTACCAAAGGCGACATCCTGAACATTACGTTGATTACACATATATGGCAACAAAACTCTGGGCAGGGCCAGATCCTTCACCCCCAGCCTTACTAATACCATCAGAAATGAAAATATATAGGTGCAGAGACTGTATTTTTGAAGCCTCTTCCATTTGGGATATCACTAATCACTACCAAGCTTTTCACCCTTGGGCTATGAATGGAGATGAATCGGTGTTACTAGATATTATCAAGGAAAAAGATGCTGTTGATAAAATGAACCCAGTATCTGATGGTATTGGTGCCAGAATAATTTCAGAGGATCATTTAGGATTGCCACAAGGGGACCCAGATACGGAATATGCAGAAGAGTCAAACCTTATCCAAGATAAAGCTCTTCAGCTCACCTCTGTGAATCCTGCAATATCCTCTACGCCGTACCAGTGTACAGTCTGCCAGTCTGAATATAACAATTTGCATGGACTTCTCACCCATTATGGAAAAAAACATCCCGGGATGAAAGTTAAAGCTGCAGATTTTGCACAAGACATTGATATTAATCCAGGAGCGGTGTACAAATGTAGGCATTGTCCTTACATTAACACACGCATTCATGGCGTTCTTACCCATTACCAGAAGAGACATCCTTCTGTGAAGGTTACGGCAGAAGATTTTGTGCATGATGTGGAGCAACCCGCTGATATGAGCCAGAATGACGTGGAGGAAACGAGCAGGATTTTCAAGCAAGGGTATGGTGCTTACAGGTGTAAATTGTGCCCCTACACGCATGGCACTTTGGAGAAGCTCAAAATTCATTATGAGAAATACCATAACCAGCCTGAATTTGATGTATTTGCACAGTCTCCTCCAAAATTCCCTGCCTCCATGGAGCCCGAAGTTCTTGCTGAAATTAAGCCCTCCCCTGAGATGGTCCCAGAAGATCTCCTGGGGGACGATTCACTACCATCATCCCACTTCTCTAGTTCCCATTTGGTTTCTCATACTGTGTTCCGCTGCCAACTTTGTAAGTATTTTTGTTCTACCCGAAAAGGGATAGCTAGGCACTACCGAATAAAACACAACAATGTTCGGGCACAGCCAGAAGGCAAGAACAACCTGTTTAAATGTGCCCTGTGTTCCTACACAAACCCTATTCGTAAAGGTCTGGCTGCGCATTACCAGAAGCGGCACGACATTGATGCTTACTACACACATTGCTTAGCAGCCTCAAGGACTATAAGCGACAAACCCAACAAAGTGATCATCCCCTCACCCCCCAAGGAGGACTCTCCTCAGCTAAGTGAGGAACTGAGAAGGGCAGTGGAGAAGAAGAAATGCTCCCTCTGCTCCTTCCAGTCCTTCAGCAAAAAAGGCATAGTTTCCCACTACATGAAACGCCATCCTGGAGTATTCCCCAAGAAACAGCACGCCAGCAAGCTTGGGGGTTACTTCACTGCGGTGTACGCGGACGAGTATGAAAAGCAGCAGCCTCCCCCGGAAGAGAGGAATGATTTTGAGAAGCCCGAAGTGGAGGTGGAGGCTCCAGAGATGGAGTGGCTTCCCTTCCGGTGCGTCAAATGCTTTAAGCTGTCCTTCAGCACGGCCGAGCTGCTCTGCATGCATTACACTGACCACCACAGCAAGGACCTGAAGAGGGATTTTACCATCCTGGGAAGTGGGGCCCGTTTCCAATGCAGGCACTGTGACAGTAAGCTGCAAACCCTGGCGGAGCTGACCACCCACTTGAACGGCCACAATGAGGAATTCCAGAAACGTGCCAAACGCCAAGAGAGGAGGAAGCAGCTTCTGAGCAAGCAGAAATATGCGGATGGTGCTTTCGTAGATTTCAAAGCAGAGAGGGTAAGGATCTGATTTTACATTACTTTTTTCCTATTTGATATTATTATTTCCTCCTCCTCTTCCACCTCCTCCTCCTCTTCTTCCTCCTCCTCTCTTCTCCTTCTCCTTCCTCTCTACCCTCCTCACTCAGCCAAGGTTACTCATTTCTTATTATTGTCCTTGGTAACTGAAAAGCCACAGGTTCTACAGTCATTGGGTTGTGCCAGTAAGTTCCATACCCATTGTTTCCTTGTTTCATTGCTTTCCTCCTTTATACTCCTGGCATGCCGTTTCATTTCCTCCTCTCCTAACTTTTCATTTCAAAGTGAATTTCTCTTTGAATAAGAAAATCATAGTTCTTCTTCCGATCTGTTCCTCTTTCCCCATGTCAAATATATTTCTTGTTCTTGACCAAAAATACCAAGAATGCAAGGAAATAATTGAGAAGAAAATCCAGTACAAAGCCCTTTGTATCTGTGGCTGTAAACCAATCTCTTTAAATGAACTGCATATTATATTAAACCCTTAGTTTGCTTGATGATATATGTGGAAGAACGTGCCTCTTTTGGAAATAGTCAAAGAGTGAATGTCACGTGGAATAAAACTTGCTCTTAGTGGCATTCTGTCAGACACCGAGATGTTTCAGGAAGTTGGTGCTAGAGAGAAAAAGGAAATGATAAACGCGTCTCATTGGATCCAAAACTACCTTCTGGTTTTGCAGGAGAATAATTTTCAAGTGGGATCCCAGTGGAATAAAGTCTTGAGACTGATTGTCAGATTAATGGGGATCTGAATATTTTTTGGTGAGGGAAGAAATAAGAATATGGCAGATTACAGAAATGATGATGGCTCAGCAATCTGGAAAAAGGATCAAAATGTTCAAAACCGGGAAATTAGGAAAAACTTAATGGCCACAGCTTCTGAAGAGATTGTGTTTGATTGGAATGATTCAGTGTTTATCAGTTTTACAGCAAATTCAGTCATATATCTGAATTTCTAAAATTTGTCTGAAATGTCTGTACATACCACAGGTAGCCCTCGGCTTACAACTGTTCATTTAGTGACCATTCAAAGTTACAGAGGCACTGAAAAATGTGACTTATGACCGTTTTTCAAATCTTTGCAGCATCCCCATTATCATGTGATCAAAATTCAGACGCTTGGCAACTGGTTCATATTTATTACCCTTGCTTTGTCCCAGGGTCATGTGATCACCTTTTGTGACTTTCTGACAAGCAAAGTCAATGGAGAAGGCAAATCCACTTAAAAACTGAGTTACTAACCTATCAACTGCAATGTTTTACTTAACAGTGTGGCGAGAAGGATTGTAAAATGAGGCAAAATTCACGTAACAAATGTCTCACCTCACAGAAATTTTGGGCTCCATTGTAGTTGTAAGTCAAGGACTATATTAGCTATTAACTCTCTGCCTTCAGGTGCAAAAGATTCACCTTATTTTAAAAATCATACATTATTTAAAAAACAAAAAAGCTTCTCTTTGGTACTTCCATTGACCACGCTGGTTGACATTTAAATAATTGGGAACTGTACTCCAGCAGATACAGAGAGCACCAGATTAAGGGAGACTTCTGTGAATAATTTTATTTTAAAAAATCCTTACAAAGGACATAAAGATTCTCAATTAAATTTCATGGTGCTTACAGGTGCTCACAAACGTAACTGCTAGAGTTGCTCCCCATAGAGAAAGACATTAATGTCCTGTTGGTTTAGCATAGCTGCAGCTAAAAGGATGTTATTTGAGTGGAGGAAAACTCAAATGATTTATGTTTTTATTTTCTTTCTGTATACAAACTCAAGGTTTTGGCATCCCATTTGGTATTGCTAGTAGAAGAATGTTGCAAACTGAGGTTGAGTTTTTCTACATGCCCCAAGGGTTTGAATCAATATTGTAATAGCACGCTGTATCTATTTTGGGACTTTTAAACATCAGTTTTTAAAATAAACTCATGCCGCCTTAGAGTTTTACTTATTCCAAGGAGCAGCATAATGTTGCCTCTCGTATTTAAATCTACAAATTTGTGACATTGTTTAGAGCAGTGTTTTTCAACCTTGGCAGCTTGAAGACATGTGGGTTTCAGCACCCAGAAAATTCTCAAGCAGCCCTACTGCCTAGGGAATTCTGGGAGTTGAAATCCGCAGGTTTTCAAGCTGCCAAGGATGAGAAGCACTTACTTGGAGAAGGAATGCTTAATTAAGTTTCACGTTTTATTGCCTTGCAGCCTTTTGGCAGCTTGGAAGAAGTTTCGAAATTGAAAGAGAGGAAAGTTGTAGGATACAAATGTAAGTTCTGTGTCGAAGTTCATCCAACTCTCCGAGCCATCTGCAATCATCTTCGTAAGCATGTGCAGTATGGGAATGGTTCTTCAGTCTCTACTGGAGTCAAAGTGAGTTTAAAGGTTTGTTTTGGGGTTAAATCCTTGGATTCAGCCAAAGGAGGAAGAAATCCCGAACCTCTTTTGTGAATCGGACACGACCGCAGTTAGAAATAATATGATAATATAATGCTAATAATATATCATTTATATCAATCATTTAACATGATTTCTATGTAGCTTTCCCTTTTTTATTGGACTTAAGCCTAGTTCCTTGTGGGCAGAATATATGCACCCATATTAATGTTATTATAACACAATAATGTGAAATCATAGTTGCCAGTTGTTTGCTGGCATTGGCCTTCGCATCAATTCCCACCCCCCAATAATCTGAGATGTTGTAGTGTATCAGCATAGCACATGTGTGGATCAAACAATGTAGCCATTTGTAACCGCAGCTGGAAATTTTGTCAGCATTTCTAATTCAAATTTTTTGATGCGGCACCCTTTGCGCCAATATTCACTGGGACCTCCATGACTGATTTGTGCCATAATCTTTTAACTTTAATTTTCAGATCAGGATACTTTGCAATCATCTCCCAATTCTTCTATTCTATTATCTCCTAGAATTGCCACATCAATTATCCACACTTCCCTTTCAACCACAATTAAATCTGGTGTGCTATGAGTCAAGACTTGATCAGTCTGTATTCTGAAAACTCGCAATGATTTAACCTGCTCATTTTCACCTACTTTCAACTCTATGTTCCTACCATTTTTTTTCATTACTGGCCCAGATGTCCCAGTGAATCATTTTGGTGATTATGTTATGTCGTTGTTTATAATCAGTTTGTTTGGTCTTCAACGAGCTGAGTATATGATCTACGTTTTCTTCTGCTTCTTTCCAAATCTTCACTTTGAATCATTCAATGGTTGTTGTTTTTTAAATTCTGGACTTGATTGCGTTAACTTGGATAGCTTGCCCCTGATGTTATCATCTATTTACAATAATGTAAAGTCAGTGCAGCCAGTTCTTTAGCTGGTGATGGCTTTCATATGCATTAAGTTCTTCCAAAGAAGCTAGGATGACATAAGGTAGCATATGTGCGGATCCAAGCACCATTATTATTAAATTTATATGCTGCCTGCCTTTCAACGACCCTCAGCAGCTTACAACAAATAGACATGCTAAATTGTTATTGCTCTTTTATGCAACCTTGAGAAAAGGTTTGGACTAACATCTCTAAAAGCTTTATACTAATATAGCCAATCTGTTTTCTGAAAGCTACTGATGGAGGTCTTGGTATATGCTGCCTTAGGATCCTTTGCTTTGAACTGTTTTCTGTCTTCTTAAAAAAAAACCAGTTATTTGCTTCCTTTTATATGAGAAGCTGCTCTTGAGTATTAGATGTAAAAACCTCAGAAGCCAGAGGAATTGGCTGCATAAATTTTCCAAGGACAAGGCTAAAGTCGGTGTTGCTTCTATAGCATTCTTCCCATGTTTTATTTTTAAATAAATGTTTTGTATATAATGTTATCATTTCTGTTTAGAACATTACTGCCAATTGTGCATTTATTTATATAAATTCTTTGTAGCTATAAATTATGAAAAAGTGTGGAATCAAGGCCTACTGGTCCATTGCACATAGTTTCTACATAATTCACCTGTAATTGCTGCAAAGCATGAACTTCTGTTTTTAAGTCAAAATATATCCACTCTTAAGTTTAAATTTAGTTTTCATTTAGAGACAACTTCTTTAATTAAATTTTGGTATGAGATATGTTAGTATATTAAATGAAACTTACTGCAAATGGCCCCTTATTTGCATTCTGCCATGTGTCCTATCTTTTTATGATACATGCTATTGTATGGAAAAATGCTTTTTCTTCAAATATGGCAGTAAATATTTTCTATAAGTTTATTTCCTTCCCAAGTTTTTACAGGCCACGACCAGAGTTTACATGCCTTCTGGTAATGGCAGTTAGTAAACCATCTGTGGATCTTTATTTAAGGCTGACAGATTGATATATTTTATAAATTAATGCAAATAAGTTGAATGTGCCCAGTAGGTGAGAAAAGTAATGAATACTGTGTAGTCTTTTTAATATTCTTCTTATCCCCTGCTCACCCCCGCCTCCTACCCCAAATTAAATCTAGATTACTTTACTCAAGCTTGGACTTTTTGAAACAGATCTGTAGAAGCCAGTATGTACTGTAGTTGCCAGTTAAATAGTTTGAAAAATATTTGTTTGGGCAAATCTTCAAAAAAAATAAAATAAAATAAAATTGAAGGCTTGTAGTGTAGTGTCCTTGTGCCAGTTTTACACCAGAAAGCCAAAAGAAAGTGAGGAAACAGTCCAGTAATCTTCTGAAAGGAATATTGGCATTTCCGCAACATTGGGACTATTCTACCTAATGAAGTGAATTATTTTTTTTTTTGGGGGGGGGGGGAAACGGTTTTAGCAACAGTGTGCTCCAGCCATGCTAATCACCACTAACGGAACAGCCGTATGTCGCTTTTCAAGACATCTTTGCTCAGATTGCATGGATGTCTGCTCATAACTGGATTTCAAGATTACTGCTATCAGAAGAGGTTGTTAGGCTTCCATAGATATAATGGTAACCATAGGGCAGAAGGGAGAGAGAATTGATGGCTTTGGGGGGGATGTGTGTCTTTTAGCAGGAAGCTGAAGATCCTTCACATGCAGCTTTCTTGGAGGGTATTGAGGGAGCCAAAGACCATATGGCCACTATGGAACTTGCAGAAGCTGAATCTGGACCATCACTGGAAGATGAAACCAGACCTGGTGGCTACCATTGCAGCCAGTGTGATCGGGTTTTGATGTCTATGCAGGGTCTACGATCGCACGAGAGGAGTCACTTGGCCCTGGCCATGTTTACTCGTGAAGACAAGTACAGCTGCCAGTACTGTTCCTTTGTTTCTGCATTCAGGCACAAGTAAGTCTGTACTGTTTACTATTTCCGCTTCTTAATGTTCATCTGCCCATAATCTGAGGACCATACAGATTTACCAAAACCGAAGTAAATGTTCTTATTTTTCACATGTACTACTTTTACTGGGTGGTGCCCCAATTAATACCAAAGGTATTATATATCGAGGACAGCAAGCCCCCAGTAATTCTTAATAAGCAGTTCTTATTATTTTGGCCTTTCAACCCTTAAACTAGCCAAAATTACATTATGGAAATACAGAAATTGAAACGTAAGCCCCATAAATTCTAGATTTTTGGTTATAAACTGCAATCTACATTGAAACTAGGTCATACATTTCAGGGATATTTTTTTAAAAATGTTCTGAGTTTATAACCCTCAATTTCTTACCAGCTAGACAACAACAGATTGAGTAAAGTAGTTTATTCCATAGAGGTTATATTTTATAAGATGTAGAAATGGAAAGCAGAACCATCCTTTTTCAGTCCCCACCTTCACGGAACCAAGCTTATGTAGGCCTGCTATATTAAACTTCGATTTCTATTGGATTTCTGCATTCATCCTGTGGATAAGTCCTTTTTTTTTTCTTGCTTGGTTTCCTTGGTACTTGCTATAATACTTGCCAGAAAAACTATTGATGAGTGAATGTATGATTGATAGGTTAATTGACCAGATCAGAATTGTAGATGCCTGTAAAACATTTTTGCAATTTCATACTAGAATGTTGCAAACATGTATGACAGAAGAGGTAAAGAATTAAGGATAATTCTCCATTAGGAGTCTGTCCCCTCAATTCTGTTTCTGTGGCATGTCACTACTGAGTTGTCTTGTGCTGGAAGTCCCTTCTTGCCTTTCTGTTTTCCTGTTCTCTATGGAAAACACTGATCACCACACTTTTATTGTACTCCGATTGCAGCTGATGAAGCAAAAAAAGGCAGCTATTGTGAAGTATAATTTTAAACATACTTACTCAGAAGTCCCTTTCAACAAAATGCAAACTTCTGAGTAAGCTAGCTTAAGATCAGGCTTTAGTAAACAGTAGGAACCAAAAAACTAAATTCTTATATTTCCCACCAAAGTGGAGAGGGGAGGAATATATTAAAAGTTAATCTTATATTTTATCTAAAAAACTTAAATCAATTAATCCATTTCTTTAAATCAAACTGAAACTATTTAGAGACATACATCCCCATATACATAGTAATGGTGGAAAAACAGCATATTTTGTAAAATTGAAGATGCCAAGAAATAAGGGAGAGAGTCAAAATGTACAGGTGTATCTCCTGAAAAAGTCAAAGAGCAGGCATATTTTGCAAGATAAATTCAGGACTATCTGCTTTTAGATGAGAACTAGAAAGCAGGGAGAGATGGTGCTTCCTTTACTGGTAGTTCTTTTTAACATCCCAAATAATCTAAGGCAGGTATGTCCAACCTTGGCAATCTTAAGACCTGTGTACTTCAACTCCCAGAATTCCCCAGCCAGCATTAAAATCCACAGGTCTTAAAACTGACAAAGTTGGACATCCCTGATCTATAGCAGGCCTGTCAAACTGGTGGGCCGGATACAGCCCACACAGGCCACGCCCACCCCTGTTCCACAAAGGCAAAAAACATTGTGATATGTCACGGTATGGCCCGTGATATGAGCGGGTTTGAAACCCCTGATCTATACTTCATGTCTTTTACATTATGGAATTGGGTTTCTATGAAAAAAAAAATAGCCTGATTTATAAGGTTAGCCAGATCTGGATTGAAGTATTGGACTGTGGCTGATTGACTTATTGATTGGTTGATTGATTACAGATGCGTTTATGCCACTTGACTCATCAAGACGCTAAGCAGTTCACAGAAGCAATGTTACATGTAATAAAACAAATGTACAAATTATAATTTTTTATTAATTACTAGCAAATAATTAAAGCTATATGACATAAAAATGAAAACACTTAAGAAACTAGTCATACTTTTTTTTCCTTCCTAGCATTTTCCAACAAGTATAGGGTGTGCATTTTTTTTCAAATCAACCAAAAGTTGATTCATTGGTTGCAACAGGAATTGTCTATGTGGATTGAGAGTGTGAATGACCTGCCCAAAGTCACCCAGTTGGCTTTCATGTCTAAGGTGGGAGTAGTACTCATAGTCTCCTAGTTTCTAGCCTGGTTCCTTAACCAGGAGTGTCAAACTCATGCCATCACGATGGCGTCGCGTGACGTATCATGACTTTTTTGCTCTTCGCGAAACCGGGCATGGGTGTGGCCAGCGTGTGACGCATCTGGCCTGCGAGTTTGACCGCCCTGCACTAGACCAAACTGGGTCTCCTTAAAACTAATTATAAACCTTCTCATGTCTCAGTTCTCTAAACATACAGGTTACAGCTTTCTGAAGGGGATGGGAATATAGATCTTGTGGGATGGTGTTCCACAGAAGAAATATATTGGATTAGAAAGAAATCTGTTTATGGTGATGCAAATATGTCATGCAAATATGTCATGGTGATGCAAATATGTCATGTTTTATTTGCTTTAGTTATAGAAAGGGATGGCAGAGAAATAGGGTGGATCAAAGGACCATAGCTTCAAATTTAGCTGTAGGCAGTAAGGTCTTAGATGAGATGGAATGGATGCAAGAGAGGTCAGGAGATTCGGGTTGAGGTATGAAGTTTAAGGAAACGAATTAAGTCATCGACAAACATAGATGGTAAAAATGTCCCAATTGGAAGTGGAAGCTAATTAATACAAGTCTTTCAAGTTCATCTTGTCCACCTGTCAGTCTAGAAAGTTCCTTCCTTGTTTAGGTTCTTCCATAAGCCCACAGAAATAAATGATGCATTGTTATTTTTCTAACAGGAAATGAAATATTTGATGGAGGTAAATAATCTGTAGGTCTGACCCATTGGAATCTCATGATAGTATTTACTGAATAATTCGTTTACATAAAAACCTTTTAAGGACACAGTGTTTATAATACCATCAGGTTTGTACTTTTGTAAACATGAGGCACTAAATTTAAGATCACCTTAAACTATTATAGTCAGGCTAGAATTTTGAGGCAGAATTTCATTGTCAGCTTTGTCATTATCATCTGGAACCAAAACAAGGCAGTCTTAACTACAGCAGCAAAAGCTTTCCATTTTATGATTTTTTTTTTCTGATATAGATAAAAATCTGAGATCCATCCAGTGAAGAGTCTAATGCTGTTAGGAACATGCTGAGGTTCCACTGTCAGTGGAAATGTTGTTCCTTGCAAGATCTTCCCAAAGTCTTTAGTTTAGACTTCAGTTTATAGAAAACATGAGATCTTGCAGGTATCAGGATAGGTGCAAATAATTATCCTGCAGTTTGGTATCTTGTTAGTACTGTCTGTGGAGATCTTTAGCAGGGAACCCATGTTAAGGTACCCATCCTTAAACTGCTCTGCTCCTAAGTTTCTGAGGAGATGTGAGGGATGCACTGTTAGTGTGTACTAGCTAGAATTCTTCTGGGTTCAGCCTTTCTACCAACCATATAAATTGACACATTTTGCTTCAGGTGCACTGCACAATGAGACCATGCATTTCTAGAAAAGGATGCTTCAAAGATCTGAGAGAAGCATTACCTTGAAGCTATTTGTGAAGCAACAAGCCATTTCTTGTAAAAAGAAGTGACCTTGTTGTTCCAGACTGTTCCGCTTTGCAGCCCTAACCTTCCTCAGCATCCTTCAGCACTTGGGGTGCATGTAGCTCCCAGAAGCCTATTTTGGCATTTGCGGAATATTGGAGAAGACTAGAAGGAAACTGCAAGAGAAAGTAGTCCCCTCAGCCTTCTCCAACGCTGCTGATGTCATTTTCTTGAGTTTCCTGCTGAGAAAAGCAAGATACAACAGGAAGCCTTCAAATGGATGCCAAAAGCTTCCCTAAGGCAAGTCATGTTGCCTCCTTGCTCAAACAAAGAGGACATTGTGTCTGTAATGCACCTCTAGGTCATCTCCACAGGCCTACAATCTGAATAATACTCTTAGGCATAAAAGCTGGCTGAGTGACTTCAGACAAGTCATTCCCTCTCAACCTAAGCCACCTCACAGGGTTATTGTTCTGGAGAAAATCAGAGGCCAGAGGAAAATCTGTGTGTGTGTGTATGTAAGTCTAAAGGGTGGAATAAAAATATAATAATAATATTAAATATTATTATATTAATGACGTCAATGATAATAATTCATGACTGCCGTGCAGGCTCCCAATTTGTATTGTTTAGCTATTACTAGATTTCCCTCAGTTTCTTTGTTTTTGATAGCACCACCTTTTTGTATTTTAGTCCTCCTGGGTCAGTCTCCTAGGTCAAGAGATTTTAAAAAAAAAAATCCTTTTGAAAAGAAAAACGAGGCCACTAGGGGGCTAATTTTATGGGAAGACAGGGATGTCCTTTTCAAAACGATTCTTTAAAAATATTTCAAATAAAAATTCAAATAAATTCTTTTCGGCTCCACTTTATTATTTTAAACTTGTACTTTTTTCGGTTACAGGATTTCCTTTAGGATAAATCTCCCATTAATAACTTAAAGCAAATTGTGGAAATACTACTCTCAGTATTTTAGTAAAGCACCTGAGATAATTGATTTGTCCATTCTTCAGTATCTTTTTTTCTTCTTTGTTAATGTACTTATCCAAGCCAAGCATTAATCAAAATTATATTTTGTATTCTGTGAATTCAATGAAAAATAATAATGAAATAGTCAGGTTTTTAATTTTATACTTATAGTCTCACCTCAGTATTGATAAAAGTTATATTACTTCCAATTTATCCTACCAAAGAATGAACGAATACACAACACACACAAACACACACACTTGAAGTGATAATACAGGAACAAAAACCCTAATCTTATTAGTGAATAAAAGGATTAAAAGTAATTTTCACTCCACATGGTCAGATAAAAAGTTTGAGGAGATTAGCCATACTTTTTAAAGTACAAATATCTACATTAGAAAACAGAAATGTAAATGGTGTTATAAAGTAATGACTTTGATTCTGAGCTAAAATGAAATAGAAACAAAGTTGTGTAATTTGGTATTTCATTTATTTTGTTGGCAACTGGTGTTAAAAGTGATAGCTGAACAGAGAAAGCTGTGCACAGCAACATAATACTTAAGTCAATTTTAGTGATCTATTAATGAATTCTTTCTTAGCACTTTCTCTGGTCATTTGGTGGAATAGCTAAAAACTCAGAATGTTTAACTTCTATATTTGTTCAGCCATAGTTTATTACATCATCTAACTTTAAATTGTAGTTAAGAATTGCAGTTACATTTGCTTAGTGAAAGTTAAAGTAATAATACCAGACATAAATAAGACTAATCCCAATTCTTAGTTTGCACTAACGATAAACTATTGTTAAGTAAAAATACAAACTAGACTTTAACTGAAAATTTAAAGAATCAATTCTCAACAAATGAACCAGCAAACATGTGGAAAATTCTTAAAAACACCACTGGCTTCAGCAAACCTCCTTCCCGGGCAGAAGGAAATCAACAACTAGCAGATGTCCTGAATGTGTTTTACTGCAGATTTGAAAAGAAACTACAGCCACCTATCTCCCCAACCCACATCTCAAACACACCAACAACAGCCAAGCCTCCTACAACTGGCCCCAATCCATTGGGCTCACAATCTCTGGTGATCACAGAAAAAGAAGTACAAGATCTATTACACAGACAGAAGCCAAGAAAAGCATCAGGGCCAGACAAGATAACTCCTTCTTGCTTAAAAGTCTGTGCTGACCAATTGGCCCCCATCTTTACCCGAATCTACAATAGATCACTAGAGATGTGCTATGTTCCTTCCTGCTTCAAACGTTCTACCATCATCCCAGTGCCAAAGAAGCCCTCCATCAGGGAACTAAATGCCTACAGACCAGTTGCTCTAACATCTGTAGTTATGAAAATCTTTGAAAGGCTTGTGCTGTCCCACCTGAAAACCACCACGGATCCACTGTTAGATCCCATGCAGTTTGCATACTGAGCAAATAGATTAACAGATGATGCTGTTAACATGGCTCTGCATTACATCCTACAACACCTTGAACCTCCAAATACCTATGCAAGGGTCCTCTTTGTAGACTTCAGTTCAGCATTCAATACCATCATTCCAGACACTCTTCTAAATAAATTAAACCAACTAGCGGTACCTGAACACACTTGTAAGTGGATCATAAGCTTCCTAACAGACAGGAAGCAGCATGTGAAGCTAGGCAGAATCACATCCGATACCAGTACAATCAGCACAGGGCCCCCCCAAGGCTGTGTGCTATCTCCACTTCTCTCTATATATCAATGACTGCATCTCAAACGATCCATCTGTTAAAATAGTGAAGTTTGCTGATAACACAACAGTGATTGGTCTCATTCGAGACAACAATGAATCTGCATACAGACAGGAGGTTATACAACTTGCCTCGTGGTGTAACCAGAACAATCTGGAACTGAACACACTCAAAACCATAGAAATGGTGGTAGACTTTAGAAGAAACCCTCCCATACTACCACCTCTTACAATACTAGACAACACAGTATCAACAGTAGAGACCTTCAAATTTCTAGGTTCTACTATATCACATGACCTAAAATGGACACCTAACATCAAAAATGTCATCAAAAAAGCACAACAAAGAATGTTCTTTCTGCGCCAACTCAGAAAGCTCAAACTGCCCAAGGAGCTGCTGATACAGTTCTACAGAGAAATTATTGAGTCTATCATCTGCACCTCTATAACTGTCTGGTTTGGTTCTGCAACCCAACAGGACAGACACAGACTTCAGAGGATAATTAGGACTGCAGAAAAAACAATTACAAACCACCTGCCTTCAATCGAGGACCTGTATACTGCATGAGTCAAAAAGAGGGCTGTGAAAATATTTACAGACCCCTCACATCCCAGACATAAACTGTTTCAACTCCTTCCCTCAAAACGACGCTATAGAGCACTGCACACCAGAACATCTAGACACAAGAACAGTTTTTTCCCCGAAAGCCATCACTCTGCTAAACAAATAATTCCCTCAACACTGTTCAACTATTACAAAATCTGCACTACTATTACTGTTAATCTTCTCGTCACTCCTTATCACCCGTTCCCTCCCACTTGTGCTTGTAGGACAGTAACTTTGTCGCTTGTATCCCTACAATTTATATTGACTGTTTCCTAGTATGATTTGATTGCTTATTGTACCCTATGACTGTCATTAAGTGTTGCACGTTATGATTCTTGATTCTTAACAAATGTACCCTTTCTTTATGTATACTGAGAATATTTACACCAAGACAAATTTCTTGTGTGTCCAATCACATTTGGCCAATAAAGAAATCTATTCTATTCTATTCTATTCTAATATTTCCTATTTCTTTTCCCTGGCTATCGTCATCTGAAGGACCCTAGAAAATTGTTAGGTTTACACGTACCTCTGGCTGTTTTCTCCAAGTTGGTGTTTTCCACAATAGTTGTCAAAAGATGACTTCAGAATGTATAGAACACACTTTGTTCAGGTGTGCGATTTGCACTTTTCTCAGTAAGAGGTTATATCTGAATGTATAAAGTCAGCCAGAAGCAACTCGATGTGGCTGCTTGGAAAATATGAGCTTCAAAGAGGTTTTGGGATAGTCTAAAATACCAGTGTCAAATTCACTGCGTCACGTTGCCGTCTCGTGACGTTTTTCCCATTCGCAGAGCTGGGGTGGGTGTGTCCTGTGCATGATGTATCCAGGCTGCCAAGTTTGACACCCCTTCTCTAAAACACTCATTTGAAAGGTTTTGAAAAAAATCCTGCTCTTCATTTAGATTGACATTACCAGCCATTCTGGTTGCTGACTGTTTTTATAAAATAATTTTAATTACATATTTACTTCTGTGGTGATCATTCTGCCCAGCAGAGAATAATTAAAAACACTGGAGGTACTTTTCACCTGGGGATGAAAATTTATAGTAAGGGCATTTCTTACTGTTCAGATACATAGCCCAACAAGGAAACCAACTTCTCCCACGTATTTGCACGATCTTTGGGAGATACGGCTTACTTTTGTTGGAATCAGTATTTTGAATGGATTTGTTTTATTCATATTCTGCAGGTGGCTATGACAATCCTAGTTTCATTTTAGTTGTTCAGGTTTTTTTTTCCAATTAAATACAAGTTGTGGATCTAGCATCCCTAGGAAAATGTCTTCTTTTGTGCAAAAATTCACAGCATTTGTTTCTCCTGGTAGGAAGGAGGGATTTCAACTGTCTGCTGACTATTTTTATTTCAGCTAAAAAGATTGAAATAAATGAACAATGGTTAGATGAAAAGAGAAGTACTTAATGCTACTGCATATTTACAAAGAGACTTAGCTATTGAAAGTCACCTACCTCTTCTCACATGCTACAGTCATATTCACGTATGCAGGCTACAAATAGAATTATAAACTTTGATTTCAACCTCTAAAATTCTGCGTGTGTAAAAAGAACAAGCATTAGATAAAGTTCATGGCTTCTTTAGTCTTGGTACTTAGTGTGTGTGTGAGAAACACCCCCTGGCTTCTGCAGCAACATTTGTGCAGCAGACAGTTGCATCTCCCCTTGATTTCCAGAAGTCTCCTGAAAATCTCCTGTGTTCCTGGCTTGAAATTAAAATGTTTGTAGAGCTCCTGTTAAGTTTTTTATTTTTTTATTTTCCATGTTGAGAATCTTGTTTTGGTCCAGACAGTCATGTGATTTTTAGTTATGTTTTTAATGTATGCATTGGACTTACAGTATGTTGCCAAGAATCTTCATAGAGTTAGGTGGCCTTAACAAGTCTAATAAATGAATAATACACAGCGTCTCAGTTTAATTATTTTCATATTATCAATGGTGTAACTATAGTGGTGGTGCAAGTGGTTAGAATGCAGTATTACAGGCTAATTTTGCTGCAGTTTGATCCTGACTGGCTCAAGGTTGACTCATCCTTCCATCCTTCCAAGATGGTTAAAATGAGGACCCCGGATTGTTGGGGGAGGGGAAAATACTGACTCTGTAAATGGCTTAGAGAGCGCTGTAAAACATTATGAAGCGGTATATAAGTACTAGAAGAAGTGGTTACCTTGGGTCTTGTGGGCTGAGACTTCGGTCTTAAAATAAAATAAAAAAGATGGACCTGGCCACAGGCAGGTATAGGACCCAATGTACATGGTCCAATGAGGAGAAGCTAATTTGACCAGGGAGCATATCGGATATAGGTGACCACTTTCTTCCTTTCCTCCTCAGCCCTTCAGGAGACTCAAATCTACTCTTCTGGCAGAGGTACAGTTGTGTGATGCTTCTCCTTTTCTTCTTTCTTTCTGCCCTGAATTGCTACTGCTTGAGCTTTCTAACCCATCAACGGGGCCACTGGAGAGATCTGGCTTGCAGCTCAGGGGGCTAGTGGTGGTCAAGGTATTAAATTAGGAGAGGAGAGACCAGTTTCTTGCCCACTCTCAGTTGCGTAAGCTCCCTGGTGACTTTGGGCCCATCATTCATTCTCTGTCCTACCCAGCACATGGTGGTGCTATTGAAGGGGAAATTGGAGGAAGGAGCTCTTAAGTATGCTGCTTTCAGCTCCTGAACAAAAGGCAGGGTATAAATCCAATAAAGAATATAATATTCATGCTCCTCCACCTCTTCTGCAGAGCACCTTATCTGTGAAAAGAAAATGAATCTGTGTCGGTGCAGGCGGTATACAGTAGATGTCTTTCAGTCATCCCATACTGGTTGAAATGATTGATATTTTTTGCTTCTTTCTTTTTTTGCTTCCCATTGCTGCTTTTCTCCTGCCAAAGTTTGGATCGCCATATGCAAGCACACCATGGACATCACAAACCATTCCGCTGCAAACTCTGCCCTTTCAAGTCCTCCTATAATAGCCGGCTGAAAACGCACCTCCTCAAAGTCCATGCTGGTAAGTCTCTTCCCGAGATTCATAAAAAGAAGGTCCCCTTCCTTTTTTTCTTTTCTTTTTTTAACCCTCCCTCGCTGTTTCCTGCTGCTGTAGCCTCTTCAATTAACAGTAGCTTGCAGCCTTAAAGTGAGCCTTGGGGCCAATTAGGGGGAAAGTGCTTAAGTTAAGCTAATTCTCCATTCAGCAAATCTTAAGCTGGAATTGAACCAACTGAGTTAGGTGATCCTAAATTAGACACAGGCTGGAACTTAATTCCAGAGCCATAATTAAACTTCTACTAGGGTGGAAACCAGGGCAAGAGGTTGAATTAAGAACTTAGGCTGCAGCAAAACAGCCAGCCCCTTTGGATAGCAAATGTTAATCAGGTTGAAATAAAAGGGCTGTGCCAAATGTTCATATTCGGATTATGTGGTGTAATTTTACACTTTGTTTTTGAGCCTAGTCATAGCCATTATTCCTTGCGTACTTTGTCATAATTTTATGTTTACAGTCTGCTTTTTTGGTAACTGTGCAAAGATCCCATATTGGACACTTTTATGAGGATATGGACATATATGATGTCGCTGTATGGTTCAGTGAGAATAAGCAACAAGAATGGAGTGCACAATTTAATAAACATTCACGGACCGTTCGTCATGCTTAAATGTACATTTTGAAGCATGTGTATCCTAAGAAATCACATTCAGATAGGAATCCCAGATAGGATCAGATAGGATTCTGATAGGTGTTATGTACTAACCCAAGGAGCCTTGGAGATCTCCAGGGAAGACCTCTGAATTTATGGTCTCCTTTAAAATTGTGGGAAACCATGAATATTTTAATAAGTAATATTTAGAAGCCTAAACTCTAGTAAGTATTACAATATGTAGTCTGTTCAGGAAAGCACAGAGAAGTTAGGTGAGTTTATTAAATGAGAATTTAATCTGACAGTTATAATTTTGACTGTGTTCTTCATCAGCAACATAACTAACAATAACTTGAAAATAATTAAGTACCGCCTGCCAACTCATTAGTTTATGGACATACATTTCAAAACCAAGAATTTCAATAATAGCTGTGGGCTTTAGAGATTTCTCTTCAAAGTTAATGTTGTTGAGAAAGATACAAGTTTGTTAAAGCAAACATAGTTAGAAACTTCTTACTTAAAATAATATTACCAAATACTGGATATGGTAGTTGCAAATTTTATTTTTTATAGTTGTACCAATGATCATTTTTGTAAGTCTTAGTTCTTTGATAAGTATAGCATAGTCATTGTCATTGATTGGCTGTTTTGTTCTGTCCTATTACAGGTTCGTCTCTGATAAGCTTTGGTTTCATTTATCAATTAGTCCCAAAAAATTTGGGTGGGGAAGAGGGTAGCTTTGGTTTCATGTGTCAATTAGTCCAAAATAAATTGGGTGGGGAAGAGGGTAGATTGCCCCCATCATTTAGATGTCCAAGCTCCTTCCAGGTGATAATTGAGTGATAACTCTCTACAATTTTGAGATTAGATCTTTAGGAAATTATATTGCTGAAGGTGTGCCCTGAAGTCAATAATTCCAGTTTATGTTCTTTCAGGAATGTTTAGCCAATGTTATAACCTGAAAATACTTGCATGAAATTTTCAATGTTTGTGTTCCTCTTTTAACATAGCCATAAGTATCAAGATGTGGTTATGTGATCTTCATTGTGTTCTGTGCTGCTACAGTTTTACCAAAGTTTACACATCAGGATCATATGACTTATTTCTACCTTGACATTTTTTTCCTCTGTGATTACATTTCTATACAAAACTGGTATTTTATTTCAAAGCTAGACATGACAGAGGTACTATTTTTATTCAGTTCTATTTTGATTGAGTACAGAATTAACTTGTGGAATTTTCTAGCACTAGATACAGTATTGGTCACTAGCCTAGATGGTTTTAAACATGGGTTAAGCACATTCATATACACGGCTAATAATCTTGATAATTAAGGTAACTTCTGTGCAGTGTCTCTGAATGCCAGCTCTTTTATCTAGTCAGTAGAGGAATGGTGGCTGCTTGTACACTTGTTTTATCCTGAAAACATTTATTCAGCATTATAAATGGACTTGTACACTAGAATCTTATAGTTGAAAGGAATAGTTTTAGAATAAACTAGATTAGCCCTTTATTCTAACGTAATAAAGTTGTACTTGAGAGCCCAGGTATACTCCACTGTATATTTTTTAATATTACTAGGTGTTCATTTCAGTTGACTCTTAAATGGAAAATGATTTGGGGATTTCTTTTGAAACTTAAAAAAAAACCAAATGAAGTTTTTTTGAAATGCAATTATATTTCTTTGTAGCCACGGATCCTACTTAGGTTTCTTCATTTGATTTGCTACTGATATTTTCTGTAGATTTTCTGAGATTCTCGACCTAATGTATATAAAGCAACTAATCCTTCTGAAAGCAGTTTAGGCCAGTTAATTGTCTCTTTGTAGAATATCTTTTGTTTGGTGTTTAATGTCAAAGGGTTTGTTTGGATTATTGAATTATTAGCTGCATATCCAGAAGTATAGCAGGAGGGCTGGAAGCATTTAGTGACTCTTGCTGAAGTATATTTTGGGGTTATATGCTGCGGTCTTAAAGGAGGAATCAAATGATACCTTTCTGTACTAAAAAAAACCCTGAGCCTCTTATAATATTCTCTGATGACCCCCATATTCTATTTTCTATTTTTATTCTAGATAGCTCACTTTGAGGGATGCAGAATTGTTTTGTTATTTTAACATTTACCCTAAACATTCACATCTATGGAACTTCTGTTTAGTGAACGAACTTAGAATATGAATGTTATATGTAAACCCATGCTCATCCTGCTGTAGACTTTGGTATTTTTGCCTTTAGTATTTAAGCATTTGGAAACAATCATTTTTTCTATCATCAGTCGGCTGATGTTCTTGTTTATAAATATATTTAGCAAAGCATTTTAAGGAACTGTCATTTGTTTTCCTCTTGTCAATTCTTATTCTCATAGTCTCATGTTGTAACTTCTGGCTGAAGTGTGCATTTTGGTCTACTGGGATTGTACTTAGAAGAAACACTAGAATCAGTTCATGGTGGATATTCTTATTCACATGAGTATCTCATGTTTCCTGGTGCAGAAAAAGTCAGCAGCTCATTTATCTGAATGTACAATGAAGGATCCAATCTGGGTCGGTCACCGAGACCAGAGGTTGAATCTTCAGAGCTTTCAGAAATGTGCTGGGGCCCAACCTCAGGGAATTTCTGGTGATAGAGAACCATGAGGATGGACTCCAGCACAAGTTCAGAAGCCTGAAAGAACACTTCTGGTCCCGGTTGGATCCGGGACATTATCCTAGGACATGATAATGTAAAATATACAATCTTTCACATTAGAGACAGTTCTGTATAGAACAGGGGTGTCAAACTCAAGGCCCGGGGGCCAGATTCAGCCCATGGGGTACTTAGATCTGACCCGCGGGCCTGCCCTGGAAACAGCAAAGAACTGGCTCATGGTGCCCCTGCCAGCGAAAAGGGAGCTTGGGGGGAGTTACACACGGCCCTCCTGAGCTCCATTTTGGACCGTGGTGGCCTCCTGCAACCTTCTGCCAGCAAAAACGAAGTCTGGGAGGGCCGTCATAGACAAAAACGGAGCCTCGATGAGTGACATTGAGCTGGCCATGCCACCTTTGCCACGGCCCCTGGCCCCTGAGGTCAAACACAACCCTGATGCGGCCCTCAATGAAATCGAGTTTGACATCCCTGGTATAGAGGTTAAGGCACAAGGCTAGAAACTGGGAGACTGTGAGTTCTAGCTGTGCCCTAGGCAGCGTGACTTGAATTTTGCACCAGTCATTCTCTCTCAGCACTAAGAAAAAGCAATGACTAACCAGTTTCCAAATCTTTTGCCAAAAAATGCAGTTCTTGTCTAGGCAATCACCATCAGTCAAAACTGACTGACAGCACAGCAACAAATATTCCATGCAATAAGTATCCTTTCAATCGTATTGTTTTGTGAGTTCCTTCCCTCTCATCTTTCCCCTGGCGAATGGCAGGAAGGTTGAATGGGCAGACCTGATCCATAAATGTTAGTCTGCCTCAGTAGAAAGAAAAATGATTTGTGTTCATATAGTAGTTCTTGAAAACATCATTCATACTTTGTAATGTCTTGAAACAGCCATTTTTTCCTCCACCTAAATGTCATTTTGCTTTTTAAACTGAAATTTTGTTCATCATAAACAATTACCCTAAATAAGCATTATTATATAACATCCGCCAGATCTTGGAGCAGTCTTGCTTTCATGTCAAAGACAGTGTCCTTGTAAAATTTGAAACCCCTTTATCACTTAATTCCTAATTGCACTCCTTTTCGTCCTTTGATCCTTTTGCACATTTTTCCATCTAACATCATTACATTCACTTATTCGTGCATCTTCAAATGGTCTCAGTTGCTCAGGCACCAAAACTAGTTGCCCCATAATTCTATTATGTTGCGTTAGATCTGTATAATGAAAGATGATCAGAATGTAAGATGGGTTAGAAGTCATAGAATCATAGGGCTGGAAGGGACCTTGGAGGTCTTTTAGTGCAACACCGTGCCCAGGGCAGATGTCTTTATTCCATCCCGGACAAATGTTTGTCCAGTCTTTTCTTTAAACTTCAGCGATGGAATACCCACAACTTCAGAAGGCAACCTGTTCCATTGATTAATTCTCAGGAAATTTCTGCTTAATTCTAAGTTGGATTTTCCTCTGATGAGCTTCCATAAATTGCTTCTTTCTTGCCATCAGGTGCTGAATTGGCTCTTTGGGAATCAAATTGAAGACAACTAGAAAGTAGAAATTATTTCCAGTAGGCCATCTACATGAGGCTCATTCCTCAATGACATATACTTCATTGTTCTATTTTTCTATTTTATTTATATATGCTGCTCTTATGACTTCAAAGAATTATAAATGTCAGGTGGTGGTAATGGTGGTGGTAATGGTGGTGGTGGTGTGTGTGTGTGTGTGTGTGTGTGTGTGTGTGTGTAATTGAAGTAAAAGAATACTGAGAATTTTTTTTTAGAGAATTACACGAGAAGAGTATTGATATGCCAGACAGTGAAATTGAAAAGAATGTTATCATTGTTAGTGCTTAACGAAGAAAAAAATGATGACAAGCATTTAATACATGCTATGAGAATGTTTGGAAAACAGTAAAGCTGCAAGTATAGATGGTGGAACTGGAGAAATGTCAAAAGAGGGATGTGGTTTGGAGTGGCTGTGCATTTATATAATGTGTGTGAAGATTTCATTTGTGTCTGATGATTGGAAGACTGCCATTATGTTCCTTTGTACAAAGGGAAATATAACAAGAAAGAATGCAAGAATTACACAGCAATTAGGTTGTCTCATATGTCTGGGAAAGTTTGGACAGAATTCTGATCTCAGAATGTGGCACTGAGCAGAATTTGATAAATGTATATGGTGCTCTGCCAGCCAGAGGTTTAGAAAGCAGAAGTTTTGTTTTTGAGAAAGAAAGGTTATAATACTGATTGATGTATAGAACAATGCTAAAATATTGAATTAATTAAGGGATATTTTATAAGAATATAGAGTTGAAGGCTGCTGAAAACAGTCTGTTGCATGTAAAGTATGTTCAAGAATAATAAGAATAATGAATAATAGAAGAATAAGAAGAATAAATAAATGCTTAAAAGATTAAAAAAGGTTGTGATATTCCTTTGGTTATTTAATACACTGCTCAAAAAAGTAAAGGGAACACTTAAACAACACAATGTAACTCCAAGTCAATCACACTTCTGTGAAATCAAACTGTCCATTTAGGTAGCAACACTGATTGACAATCGATTTCACATGCTGTTGTGCAAATGGAATAGACAACATGCAGTTAGCAAGACATAGCAAGCATAGGCAGTTAGCAAGACATCCCCAATAAAGGAGTGGTTCTGCAGGTGGTGACCACAGACCACTTCTCAGTTCCTATGCTTTCTGGCTGATGGTTTGGTCACTTTTGAATGCTGGTGGTGCTTTCACTTTAGTGGTAGCATGAGATGGAGTCTACAACCCACACAAGTGGCTCAGGTAGTGCAGCTCATCCAGGATGGCACATCAATGCGAGTTGTGGCAAGAAGGTTTGCTGTGTCTGTCAGCATAGTGTCCAGAGCATGGAGGCGCTACCAGGAGACAGGCCAGTACATGAGGAGACGTGGAGGAGGCCGTAGGAGGGCAACAACCCAACATCAGGACCGCTACCTCGGCCTTTGTGCAAGGAGGGACAGGAGGAGCACTGCCAGAGCCCTGCAAAATGACCTCCAGCGGGCCACAATTGTGCATGTGGCTGCTCAAATGGTCAGAAGCAGACTCCATGAGGGTAGTATGAGGGCCCAATGTCCACAGGTGGGGGTTGTGCTTACAGCCCAACACCGTGCAAGACGTTTGGCATTTGCCAGAGAATACCAAGATTGGCAAATTTGCCACTGGCGCCCTGTGCTCTTCACAGATGAAAACAGGTTCACACTGAGCACATGTGACAGACGTGACAGGGTCTGGAGACGCCGTGGAGAACGTTCTGCTGCCTGCAACATCCTCCAGCATGACCGGTTTGGCAGTGGATCAGTAATGGTGTGAGGTGGCATTTCTTTAGGGGGGCGCACAGCCCTCCATGTGTTCACCCAGAGGTAGCCTGACTGCCATTAGGTACTGAGATGAGATCCTCAGACCCCTTGTGAGACCATATGCTGGTGCGGTTGGCCCTGGGTTCCTCCTAATGCAAGACAATGCTAGACCTCATGTGGCTGGAGTGTGTCAGCAGTTCCTGCAAGACGAAGGCATTGATGCTATGGACTGGCCCACCCGTTCCCCAGACCTGAATCCAATTGAGCACATCTGGGACATCATGTCTCGCTCCATCCACCAACGCCATGTTGCACCACAGACTGTCCGGGAGTTGGGGGATGCTTTAGTCTAGGTGTGGGAGGAGATCCCTCAGGAGACCATCCGCCACCTCATCAGGAGCATGCCCAGGCATTGTAGGGAGGTCATACAGGCACATGGAGGCCACATACACTACTGAGCCTCATTTTGACTTGTTTTAAGGACATTACATCAAAGTTGGATCAGCCTGTAGTGTTTTTTTTTTTTCATTTTAATTTTGAGTGTAACTCCAAATCCAGACCTCCATGGGTTGCTAAATTTGATTTCCATTGATAATTTTTGTGTGATTTTGTTGTCAGCACATTCAACTATGTAATGAACGAAGTATTTAATAAGAATATTTCATTCAATCAGATCTAGGATGTCTTATGTTTGTGTTCCCTTTATTTTTTTGAGCAGTGTATATTTCTACATATAAAGTATATATATGAAATACATTTGTTGACATTAGAGATACATTTATTGGGAATGTGAATGTCTGTGTACATTTCTGTAGAAATGATGCTGAGCTGTTGGCTGAGGACCCAGATGATTTGCACTTAATATTGTGAATTCTAAACTTTAATGTATTAAAGATCAAAGTAGTTATCTTTGAGAGGAATAATAAAGTTAAGCACTGCAAGCTGTGCAAAAATCATGAAAAACAAGAACAAGGATTTTTTAGATGAATTTGTGGGCCTTGGTAAAATATTTATCAAAGATGGGAAACTGAAAGTACATAGAAGTCCAAAACAATGAATGAAGTTAGGAACAAAAAAAAAGTGGGTCAAGAGAAAACAAAACACTGAAAAGGTAATTTTTGATAACGTTGAAAAGATCTTCAAAAAAGAGAAATTTAAAGAAGAAAATACAGTGGATAGATGTGGTGGATGCAGGGATGAATCCCAAGTATAGAAAGATAAGGAAAATTACGGTGTTACAGGTGAATCTTTATTTAACAATGGACATTGGGACTAGATATTCCATCACTAAGCTGTCCATTTGTTAAGCACGATGTCATACAACTGTGGTGGTTCGTGACAACAATTCTGGCTGCCCCAGTTGCCATCATTAAGTGACAGCCACACAGTTATAAAGCAGGGACATCACATGACTTGTGATTTACAACTTCTGGTTGGCTTTCCCATTGACTTTGTAAGAAGCCGGCAGGGATGGTTACAAATTGTGACCACGTGACCATAGAACGCTATGATGATTGGAAATGCAGGGCGGTTACCACATGCCCTAATCGCAATCACATGACTGGGGTTGCGCTGTAATGGCTGCAACTACAAGGACCAGTTGTAAGAATCACGTAAAAGTGCTATAGCTTATTAATGGTACTTAACACCTACCAATGAACAAGCGGGAACTACTGGTCTAAGAATTAAAATTTCCTTCTCCTTTTGATATCTGTGCTTTTAATTCCTCTGGGTTATATTTTCCTGTTCCTTTTCTGCACTTACCTCGCTTCCCCGGGAATGAAATAATGTGATGGGCATGTAAGTCTGTATGTATGATGCCCAAATGTCAAGTTCAATTCAAGTAAAAGGATTAATTAATAGTTACCAGTAGACACACTAGGAGAGTTTACAGTTTCACCCCTGGACTCATGACCTCAATCAACACGGTACAAGTAACACATCATTAATCATGTTAATGAGGGTTATTATCATTTAAGTACTGTTTGGCATGAATATTACGTTTTCACTGTGCACTTTAGCCCCTGGTATTTCCCTTCTTATCTCTTGGAGATTGACTTGCTTCCTCAAGCGAAGCTGCTCCACCCCCATTTTCTGCCCCTTCAAGCAATTTTTGTTAGGCTTTGCTGTCCCATTGATACGCCATGCATATAGGGAATTTTCACCATGGTTAACAATCAGCAGTTCGTTTATCTGAATGTACAATTTCTCATATTAGAGACTCTTTGGCACAGCGTTTAAGGCACCAGGCTACAAGCTGTGTTCTAATCCTGCCCTAGGCAGTGTGACTAAGACTTGGGGCTCATTGTCTCTCAGCACTAGGAAAATGCAATGACAAACTACTTTCCAAAACTTTTGGTTTGAAGGAAAGAACAGCTTCTAGTATGTCAACCAAATTTCAGCCTTGGTCCTGAGACTAAAGGAAATAGGACATTTCCAACGATTTTATTCTGTAGGATTACCCAAAGGAGGATCCCATGGAATTTCGTTAGGACCCATTGCTGATTCCATTTGAAGCAAAATATCCCCCTCCCAAGCTTCCTTTCTCACCCCTCTACTTCCCCCTCCCCCTCCTGTTATCCTTTGAGCTGATGACTTGCTTGTTGTTTTGCTCAAACAGGTGAACATGCGTACAAATGTTCCTCCTGTTCATTTTCCACCATGACAATCAGCCAGCTAAAAGAGCACTCCCTGAAAGTGCATGGGAAGGCATTGACACTACCAAGACCACGAATTATCGGCCTTGTAACCTCGCATGCCTCCAAGAACCACACTACTGCTGAAGAAGCGGAAGACTCGAATGGTAAGAGGTGCTCTCAGCACCCCCCCCTTCCCGCCCTAGGGTTCTAGAGGGAGAATCTGTTTTCTTCTCTTCATGGGGAAAAAGTCTAATTCAGAGGTAATTTTTTTTTTCACTTATAAAGGGGGGAAAAAATCCCTTCCTACCTAAGCAAATTGGATGTTGATAGGCATAGAAGAGGAGTGCTCGTTCACGCTTTTATCCCTATAATTGGCATGTAAACAATTTAGATTTCCCTGCGTTTCTTCTTTAGTGTCTTAGGATACTGCATTATCAATATTTTGCAGCTTTAAAATGAAGAAGCAGAAGCATTACAGACTTTCCCTAGTTGAGGATTATGTTGTTGTGGAAATGAGGCTAAAATATTTGTTGATCCTTGGCTGTCACCATTCATACATTAGCAGCAAGAGGTGTTTGGGAAACAAATTTGTTGATTCATTTTTAAGCAATGCCATATGGGAACCTGAAACGTTAGCCATAGTAAAGAGCTGCGCCCTGCTATCCCTTCTCTCAACACATATTCTCTTCCTTATAAATTCTGACATTTTCTGAACATTTCCTGTGAAAACATCTATAAAAACCAGATAGCAAGTCTCTGAGGTAGCTTTATCAAAACACCATAAAGATTAATGCTGTGAACTGGTCCACCGCTTCCGCTATTGGGGTCAATGTATGTTACAACTAAGCTGGCCTCATGATTTTTGTGTAGCAAATGTGGCACCTGTGAATGGAATAGTATGGCAGTAATGCTTAGTACAGTTAATTTCCTAGAATTCTATGACTTTTCCATAGAACAGATCATTTAGAATTTGATAACTTATTTTTAAAAGCATTATCAGGTTACACACGTTTAATAACTTTTGGTTAGTTTATTGCGTGTTAGATTGTGTAAATTTTGGCATCTAGCTTAATCTTAGGTCAGGCAAGTTCTTTAGTACTATATCTCTCTTCCTCAGACTGTTTTAGTCGATCTTTCTGTCAAATGACAATTGTATTTGGTTTTTTTTTTTTTCTGGTGATTTCTAGAGAGAATAACTAATCCTGATTTAAACTGAAGTAGTGAGTAAAAGAAGCATTTTTTCCTAGCATGAGGCAAAAGGGGTGTGAGGGGTTGCATCTTATTCTTTATTAGGGACTGACATAATTATCTTTGTTTTTATAAAATATTTGTGAGAAGAGCAAAATAAATCTAAGGGCTTTGGCTCTTGGAAAAAAAAAAAGAATCTTTATTGATACTATCAAAAAGCAATTTCTTATATAAGCAGCAATATTGTCCGTGTTTGCTCTCAATTATATATGAGTTCAGATATGCCAGGAGTGTCAAACTCACGTCATCATGACACCATCACACGATGTATCAGGACTTTTTTCCCCTTCGCTAAACCGGACGTAGGTGTGGTCAGCGCATGACGCATCCAGCCCACATTTGACAGCCCTGAGATATGTGATGGTGAAATATACTTTTTAAAAAATATATATAATTATATACCAAGAGACTATTAAGCGGAGGTGGGGGGAGTATATTCCCAAACAACTTGATATTGGCCAAGGGGTTGGGGAATTCATTTATTTTAAATAATGTTCCTAATAATGAGAAACCAGCCCACGTATTAGCAAAAAGGATGTCTCTGTTAGCCAGATCAGCTTACAGAATTAGAAGGACTGTTTTGTGGATATCCACTCACCCTTTACTAATGGGTTTATTAATCACATTATTTTTGACAATTATGGAAACAGCCGACTAAGGGCCTGTCAGAGTACAGGTGCTGGAGTAATGAAATGGACACCCTCAGCCTCATTTGATAAAGGGAGAAATCCCACCAGTTATTTTTCTAAATTTTATACTGCTGGACATATTAACTTCATTACAGGTAGTCCTTGACTTAAACCATTTTTTCGGCAACTGTTCGAAGTTATAGCTGCACTGAACAAAGGCAATTATGACTAGTGCCTGAAGTTTCTCTCCTTGCAGTGTCCCTGTGGACACATATGATAAAAATTCAGGCCCTTGGCAGCCCACCTGCACTTACAACTCACAGGAGCACTTCAACTTCCTCTACCAATCTATTTTCTCCTCACATCTATGCCCTGCTTGCTAATCAATATGGTCACTTGGCGTTCTATTTATGGTTGCATAGACATAGACGTAGAATAACAGAGTTGGAAGGGACCTTAGAGCATTACTTAGCCACCGAAATCCCAGTCCCAAATATGGTTATAAGTTGAGCTCTACCTGTACTTCCTTGAAGTGATTTCAGTTTCTAGAAGGGTTTCGTATATAGAACAAGCTCCACAAGTTCGTTTTACTACTAAATTGCTCGCCATTGCTCATTGGTATATAAAGTTATTGTCATGGCTCCATCAGAGGCTGGGTCCAAGAAAGAGGAGGAAATGGATCCGGGGCCGACAGTGGAAAATGGTACAGCTTCTCTGGCCGTGGAGGAGTGACTGGAGGAGCAGGACGAGGCAGCCCTGGGTCCCTCGGGCCTGGGAAGGGTCGCCAGAGAGGAAGAGAGGGCACAGGACAACCGAGCAAGGGGGGAGGAGATGGAAAAGACAGGCAGCAGAGTAGAGGAGCGACGGAGCTCCAGAGAAGAGCAACTGTCTCTCCCGCCTGATCCCTGAGAATGGAGAGGAGGCAGGATCAGTATAGTGCAACTCGGGAGGAGGGCGCCCCGCCCCTCATCCCCAGGCTTACCTGGAGAATAGGATTTAAGGAGATACTGGGGAGTGGCGTTCGTCGGGAACAAGCATTGTATTCTTCCAGGCACGCTTGTGAATACCGACAACTTGCTGCCTTGCTTTGCTTTGCTTTGCTTTCATTCAGCTTGCCTAGCCTGGCTTTGTGCAAGCGCACAGCAACACCACTCTGCTCTGGGATTTTGCTGCAGCCCCAGTGAATTTTCCGAGCGACAAGGATGCCCCACGATCAGATTTTACGTACCGCTTCTGCTCCCAGGGACACCGTGCTGCTCTTCTGGATGTATAGCAACCAAGAACTATTGGAAGCCTGTAGGCGTGTTTAGAGCTCTGCTCTTGAATTTGCAGTGAACTGTGAGGATTTGGGGTTGGAGCAAGAAAAGGGAATTCAGCCTTCGCTTCGGTCATGTCGCTTCCGTGCCCAGCCTGGGTCATCACAGTTATATGGTTGCGTAAAAATACAGACAACTTTATGCATGTATGGGACCAAGGACATAAGTGTTTGGGACCTCTTAACATTTATAACTCCTTGACTTACAACAGTTTGTTTAGTGACTGTTTGAAGTTACAATGAAAAAAGTGACTTAAGACCATTTTTTCTGTAGCTAAGCAAAAGTCACTTAACAACTCGCTTAGCAACAGAACTTTTGGTCTCAATTGTAGCCGTAAGTCGAGGACTACCTGTAATTTGTATTACTTTTTTAAAACATTTTTTTAAATTTTCTATTGTTTACATTTATTAGTACTTAATGAACATCGTGTTGTCTGGATATTTAATTTGCTTAACAATACAGATTACATTCTTAATCTCCACCCCTTTTTTTCCAACCATTGATAAAATAAGTTCCGTGTTTGATAATATTCTGTGTCTTCTTTCAGCTGTAATTTGTATTATTTGTCAGACTTCCTTAGATATGCAGATTACCGTACTACCAAGCCATTCGTTAGGTTCCATTTAGTTCTAGTATCTCTAGCAATGTAACCACATTTCCTTTTAGGAGTGAGACTGGTTCTTGTGTTTTAGTTTAGTTGTTTAGTTTAGTTTATTGTAATTGTACCTCGTACAATGAAATTAAATACCATCTTCAGAGTACATTATGACTGAAAATAAACACAAAAATACATCCTTTCCATTCTATACATTGAACTGAAAACCCCTGATATTGCATCAATATTACACTGTACAGTTTTCTAGAGCAACGGGCCCAACCTTTTGGGCAACAAAGACCAGTTTCATGGAGAGTGTTTTTTCTGCAGGCCAAAGGGGGCGTGGTTTCACCTGCTGCCTGTGGATGGGGCATCTCTTGTGTGTTGCAGCCCGATTTCTGGCATACTGCGGCCAGAGGTGGGGGATCCCTGTTCTCGAAGAGTGTGGAGCTATGTCAGTGAACCAAAGGGATTATCGAGAGCAGACCAAAAATGATTATATACCTCTTCCATTTCAGCCAAAGAAACAGAATAGCCAGAGAGTGAGATCCAGCAAGCAATTGAACTTTTGCGGTGGGTCAGTATTAAGCGGCTGTCTAGAATGGCTGATTATATGGTGGAAATGACACTCGTAGCTAGGGAAAGGCAGATCTAACATACAGTTTGTGAAATCCTGTTGTGGTTAAGCACTTCGCAAATACTGTTTGCAAATACATGGTGTCTGAGATTGTAGAAAGGCCTTTGGTGGTTTCCGCTTGTTGTTTTTTGCCTGAGGTGTGAAGTAGAGTCAGAGAGGGTCAGTGTGTGGTGTGAGGATTTGTGCAGAATATTTGTGCACTCAAGCTACTGTTTTACTGGAGAGTGGTGTTTAGTAATTAAATGTTAGACAGGTTTCTTCACCAGGTGCTCCCTTCACTGCAGCACTGCAGTGTGGAAATGACTTTTGCAGCAGAGAGAGCTTGTAAAAGCAATTTATATTACTGCAAAGAAATTGTATATTGACAGTGGATATTTTTAGAACAGTGGGATTTATGATTGGGCGTAGCCACAGCTAGGGATACCTATGGCAGCTAGTAAAATTCTGGCTGGATTGAGAATGTCTTATTAATACTCTTAAGAGCTATAGATTCATGATGAATGTTCAGTATATTGATGTATAATATATTCTGGGTTCTTCATTCCAGAAAAGCTCTTGCTGTGGTTTGTTTATTGAGATGTCGGAATCAGTAGCTCTAATTCTACCTCCCTCGCTACCTCCACAAGCCATAGTCAGAAGCTGTGATTAGTTGCAGTCTTCACCATTCCTGACGTTTTGAGAGGTGAGGGAAAATCCATCTAAATTAAAGTATCACAGTTAGTAAATTGTGGAAGGCAAT